ATGTAATTTCTGGAGAACAATTTTGTTTGTTTTTTTTCTTGTCAGATCATCAATGGAAGACTATAAAATAACGCAAGAAATGAAGAGACATGCAGTTATCGTCAGTTATGCGCGAAACACACCGATTTAGAAATCTCCAATTTTCTCAATTGCGCTCAATCAATCGTACATAAGGTTCGTCGTGAATTGGAAGCATCAACTGGCGATGTAGAAACTGTTGCAAAACGCAAAAAACATGAGGAACGTTCGGACACTACTAGAAATACACAATTTGTCCAACAAGTGCAAGAGATCGTTGACAAAAGCCCTTCAAATTCCATGAGGGCCATTGCGAGGGACCTGAATATCTCTGAGAGCCTAATCCGTCGAGTTGTCCACGAAGACCTCCGCTATACGTCCTACGTTATGCGCAAAGGACAGTTTATGTCGGCACAAACTCGAGAACAGAGACTTATTCGAGGAAAACGTCTTTTGAACAAGCTTAAGCACCCTGAAGTTCCTAACATGTTGTGGTTTTTTTCTGACGAAAAAAATTTCGACCAAGACCAAAAAATCAATCGGAGAAATGACAGGTGGTTATGCTCACATCCTACAGAGGTTCCCCGTGTTATGCGCACGAAGTTTCCAGCAACTGTCATGGTTTTAGGAGTTGTGAGCAACGAAGGACATGTTATGCCACCCCACTTCTTTCGTCAGGGGCTTCGGGTAAATGCTGCCGCCTACATCGAGATTTTAGAAACAATTGTGAAACCCTGGATTGATAGTGTACGTGGGGACAGACCATACATATTCCAGCAAGACTCTGCTCCTTCACACAAAGCCATGACGACACAAGATTGGATGACCGAAAATTTCTATGACCACATTACTCCAAACTTATGGCCACCTAGCTCCCCAGACCTTAATCCCCTGGATTATTACGTATGAGGCGTAGTTGAGTGGGAGACCAATAAACATCCTCATAATAATATTTCATCACTGAAGGATACTATAACAACAACAATGATCAAAATGAACAAAGAGCATTTGATTCGGGCATGCAATCGTTTCCGACCCCGGATTGAGTCCGTTATTGCCGTTAATGGGGATTTTATTGAGTAATTGTATAGTCTAGGAGTCAATTAACGTCGTGTAAAAATTTCATGGAATTCTAATAAATTTTGCAAAAAATATGAACAAATTAGTTTTAATGTCAATTTGTTCTCAAATACCGTACGCACCCTGTACATATATACATGTATACATGTGTGTGTGTGTGTGTATATGTATGTGTGTATGCGTGTATGTATGTGTGTATGTGTCATATATATGTATATATGTGTTCATGTATGTGTGTATGTACGGATGGGTGCTGCATGTGCACTCCATATATACCTTCATTATATATTGATATTCGCTCTATACACAATATTAGTGGCAAGACTAGATGTTAGCTGGGCTTCATATCTTCATATATAAAGTATGTGGGGAGCCTCCTAAGGTTTTATATTTCGCCGCAACTTAAACGTGATTTGTACGGTACATGTAGACAGCCATATCATATGTACATAAATGTTACATATGATTTATATACATATAAAACATTCTTACATTATTAATCTTATTGGGTGAGTGCAAAAGTTCGTGCGGAGTTTCAATAGATGGAGTTATAAGCGTCGTAAAGTGTTGTCATTAATACTTCCATCTATATATTATATAACGTTGGAAAGGTGACGTCTTCAGCTGTTATTAAAAAAAAAATCATTTGTTTTCATACAAACTGCTTCGAGAAATATCACTTTAAAAATGAGTATCGATAAGGTGCATTTACGGCATGTTATGTTTTACGAGTTTCGGAAGAGAATAAACGTTGCCGCAGCCGTAAAAAACATTCAGGATGTTTATCAGGATGAAGCACCAGCTTCATCCTGACCAGCTTCATCTGACTGTGGAAAAATGGTTTGCTAAATTTCGGCGCGGAGAATTTAACCTTGAAGACGAGCCACGCTCTGGTCGACCTTCTGACATTGATGACGATGTTTTGCGTACTTTAGTGCTCAATAATCCGCGAATTTCAACAGAAGAAGTTGCTACAGCACTAAACGTTGACCGATCAACCGCTTTTCGACGTTTAAAAAAGATGGGATTCGATTTGAAGCTCGATATATGGGTGCCCCATTTGCTGACCGAGAAGAACAAAATCAAGCGAATTTCTGCAGCCGTTTCTTTACTCGGGCGGCTCAATAACGAGTCGTTTTTGGATCGACTAGTGACGGGCGATGAGAAATGGGTCCTCTACAACAATGTTCAGCGCAAACGGACATGGAAACAATCAGGTGAGCATGGTGACGCAATGCCAAAGGCCAGTTTGCACCCGATGAAGGTGATGCTCTCTGTTTGGTGGGATTGCAAGGGCATAATCTATTTCGAGCTTCTCCCCGCTGGCGAAACGATTGATTCGGACAAGTACTGTCGCCAATTAACCAATCTGAATCGAGAAATAAAAGAAAAACGTCCGATTTTGTCAAATCGCAAGGAAGTCGTCTTTCATCACGACAACGCCAGACCACACGTTTCGAAAAAGACGCTGCGCAAATTGAAGAGCCTGAAATGGGATGTCTTAACGCATCCACCGTATTCTCCTGATATCGCACCATCTGACTATTACTTGTTCCGGTCATTGCAAAATTATTTAAATGGAAAAAACTTTGACTCTTTGGAGGCCTTAAAAAACGGCGTCTCTTCGTTCTTCGAATCTAAACCGCGCAGTTTTTATGATCGAGGCATCCGTATGCTGCCAGAATGTTGGGAAAAGATTATAGAAAACAATGGAAAATATATCATTGATTGAATAAAGATTTTTGTTTGCCTAATCACTGTGTGACTTTTACTCACAAACTCCGCACGAACTTTTGCACTCACCCAATACATTAAATATTTTGTTCTATGTATGTGCATTGTGACTAATCCGATTGTACACGGCATTATCATAGTAAGTTTGTGTAAAGATATTAGTGTATCATTTTATGATTATTTTCATTTATAATAAAAATGCATTGTAACTTCAAGTTGTTGTATTTTCACATTTTAATGCAGTGCTAGCAATTAAGTGAGCAGCGCGAGCCGATTTCAGAGGCAACGCCCGCGCTTCCCCCACTACCTCTCGAAGTGCGGCAGCCGAGCCGCCGATATGCGTGAGACGCTCTGCCTCAGGAACGGTCTCGTATATGATATAAGTTGGGATCGCACTCTCCGTCAAACCAAAATTAAAATATTTATTTATCCTTGTTGAAATTTATCAACTCAGGAACAGCGGGTTAAGCACAAGCAAGATAGGATTAGTATACTTTTATTTAGTACACAACTATATTATCAAAAAGGAACACAATACACTTGAACTCGGTCTTCACAGTATATAGATTAACCTAACTCTATATAAGAAGCCACTTCCTCGACCATACGCTCACGACTAACTGACTTACTAAAGACTTGCTTCTCCTCCTACCACACGCGCGCCACGCATCTGTCCGCTGACACATTAGTGCAAACGTCACAAAGCGCGCTAGACAAAAATTTAAATTCAAACCACAACACTCCCTCGGTCTAAGCACTTTGTTGGTTTGGCAACTATTTGCAACTTAGTACAAATCGTATAAAACCGCTCCTTCGGAAGAGCTTTAGTTAATATATCCGCTAATTGAGATCTTGTAGGAACATACTTAACGACTATCTCCTTGGCTTCTACTTTCTCTCGTACATAATGTAAACGCAAATCAATATGCTTGGTCCGTTTATGGAACTCTGGGGTATTTGCCAAGCGTATTGTGCTTTGATTATCAACATTCAATACTGTCGCTTCCTCACAAGAATAACCTAAGTCGGTCAATAAACCTCTCAACCATATTGCCTCTTTGGCTGCCGACGCTGCAGCAACATATTCCGACTCTGTCGTGCTCAAAGTCATAAGACATTGTCTATGTGATGACCAAGTTACTAGTCCACCGGCAAACATAAATACCACTCCAGTTGTCGATCTCGTTAATAAGTCGCTCGCAAAATCCATATCTGAATAACCTACTAGTCGTAGGTCATTTTTCTCGCTATTATACAATATTCCTACTTCTAACGTACCTTTCAAGACTCTTAATATGCGCTTTACCGCCTGCCAGTGACTATTTTCATAGCCGTTTAAAAATCTACTTACATAACTAATCGCAAACGCAATATCGGGTCTCGACACGGTTGCTGAAAACATTAATGAATCTACCGCTTCTCTGTACGGTACATTACATGTTAATCGGACATTATCTCTAACAGGCTACAATAATGCGTGTGGGTCTGCAGGTACGGCAACTTCTTTCGCGTCATTCATTCCGAACCTGTTCAGTACTTGTTCAATATAATTCCTTTGGTTCAAGAATATCTGTTTGTTACTCCGATCATGATATATTTGTAGACCCACAAACACTTCTGCATTTCCCAAAGTAATCTCAAACATTTCTTTAAGCGCATTCGTTACTTTGGCAATAGAGCGTTTTGATTTGGCAGCTATGAGTCCGTCATTGACATATAATACAAGATAAACATCGTCATTATCTACCCTGCCGCGAAAAATACGTTTATCCGCATTGCTTTCCGTGAAACTAAAATACTTTAGGAATGATACAAACTCTCGGTTCCAAATTCTTGATGCCTGTTTAAGACCGTATAACGCTTTCTCAAGTTTACACGCTAGAGTCTCGTTTTTCACTACATGTAATCCTTCTGGTATTTTCATAAATACACGATCTGCCAATTTTCCATACAAAAACGCTGTCTTTACATCAAATTGTATTAGCTCAAAATTTCTTTGCGTAACCATAGCAAGAAATACACGTAACGAATCAAACCTAATTACCGGGGAAAATGTCTCTGAGTAATCTTTTCTGGGTTTTTGCATAAACCCTCTCGCAACCAGTCTCGCCTTGTAGCGACATATCTCTCCCGTCGGTGTCCGGGAGATTCGAAAAACCCATTTCGAATCAATCGGAGTTTGGCCTGGTTCTTGGAGAACAAGTCCATGTTCCATTCCTCTCGTGTGCATCTAGTTCCTCTGCAATAGCCTTGACCCATTTTTTAGCATCCGATTTAGATATGGCGTCTCTGTAACTTAAAGGCTCATTACACTCTGTAAGGTTTACTTCAAATCTTGCCGGTCGCTTTATCTGGGTGCGATCACGTAGCTGACGTGAATCTTCGTCAGGCGAATGATAGGTGTCATCCGACGACTCATTCTCCTTATCGCTTATTATCTTTTCTAGAACGGCTTCATGTCGTCGGCTTTCATCCCCGTCTTCAATCTGCTCGTGTTTTTGGTCTGGCAGCTTGATTAGACTACCTGTCGACCTTTTTGGGCTGGAGCAGTTTCTTCTTTCATTGAATATTACATCTCTCGCAACAAAAACTCGCTTCTTTTGTGGATCATAAAGTCGATAGTTCGTGGACTCACCCTGATAGCCGACTAGTATCAACTTCTTCGCTTTTGAATCGAGCTTGTCCCTTTGCTGTTCAGGTATGTAGACATAGACATCAGATCCAAAAATACGTATGTGGGCCAAGCTCGGTTTCTTGCCTGTCCACCTTTCATATGGAGTAGCTTCTGATGATTGCGTCGATGTTGTCCGATTTAGTACATAAACAGCGGTATTTATTGCCTGTGCCCACAACGCCTTGAGGAGCTTCGATGCAATCAGCATGGAGCGCGCACTCTCCACTATAGTTCGGTTGTCTCGCTCCATTCTCCCATTTTGCTGGAGTGTGTACGGTGCTGTACACTCCATCCGAATACCACACGCAGAGAGATAGTTTATCATGTCTTTGTTTACATACTCTCTTCCATTGTCCACTCTTAACACTTTTGTAGAATGCCCAAACTGATTCACAACTAGTCTCTTGAATTACTTAAAACGATCAAGAACATCAGATTTATGTTTTATGAAGAACACTCGATAACCTGATGCATCGTCTTTAAAAGTCAAAAAATATTTCGCGCCATCAAAGGAAGTTTTCGAGAACGGACCGCATACGTCACTGTGAAAAAATTCTCCAACCGCCCTTGACTGTGGCGACTCCCTTTTTGCAAACGACAGTTTATGCGATTTACCAAACTGACACGTTTCGCAGAAGGAATTGCTTTTGTGCTTGAATTTCAGTCCATGAACATAATCTTTATCTGCCATGTGACAGAGAGAACGATGATTCACATGTCCCAAACGTTCGTGCCATACATTCAGATCCACCACTGACGACATATTTGCCTCATCTGATTGCACTACTTGGAAAAACATGCGAAAAATATTATTATCCTGTCTTATTCCCTGCGCAACTATTTTCTCATTCCTCAAAACAATCACGTGTTCCCCTTTAAATCGTATCTCACAACCTTTGGGTGTGAGATACGATTACTGAAAAAATATGTTTTACATATTACTACATACACCTACTGAAAAAATATGTTTTCTGAGAGAAGGTACGTAAAGCACGTTTTCAATGCTTCCAAGTTTCCATACACCATCAACTAGTTTATTAATTACAATTTTTCCAGTTCCTTCAGCAACTCGCACACCGTTGTCACCTAGCGATACTATTTCTCCTTGATATAGTTGATAATGCACGATCCAGTCTCTACGGAAAGTACAGTCTGTCCCAGATCCAATGAGACTGGTCTAAAAAAAATACAAAGCGTTTATTATTTTGATTTTTTATTCTTGTTTATTCAAAATAGTCTCCTTCTGAGTCAATACAGCGCTGGAAACGTTCAACAAATTTTTCGAAACATTTTTTATACTCATTGGCAGGAATGGGTTTTAGTATGGCGGTCGAAGTCTTTTGGATGACCGGGATGGTATCGAAACGATTTCCTTTCATCGCCAATTTCAGTTTGGAAAATAGCCAGAAGTCACACGGAGCCAAATCAGGTGAATACGGTGGATGATCGATAAAAATGATGCCTTTTTTGGTCAAGAATTCACGTACCATGATGGCTTTGTGCGATGGTGTATTATCGTGCAACAAAAACCAACTGCCTGGCTCTCGATATTCCGGTCGAACTCGTCGAATTCTGGCCCACAATCGTTGTAGAACTCCCAGATAATATTTGGGCAGACACACAGCGGTCGCTTCGAAGAATTTCTTTGACTTTCTCGATGTTTTCTTCATTGCGAGTGGTTTTTGGCGGCGGTGCTCGGTCATCGTCTGCAAGATCCTCACGACCGTCACGGAATCGGCCAAACCAACGAAAAACCTGTTCACGGGACATGCATTCATCCCCGTACACATTTTTTAGCGTTTCGTACGTTTCTGCGCCACTTTTACCCAATTTAAAAATTGGTTTTTCGACCGACGTACACAAAGTGACTTTACATAAAATGTCAAACCACAGTGAAATATCAACCGAATTCGCTCAAATTTTGAGGTTAAGTAGATGAAAGGTAGAACATTCACCTACCATCATTCACTCATAGATATCGCTGCGCTAAGAACTTTGATGGAACCAGTCTCATCGTATCTGGGACAGACTGTGTAATGTGCCTCGAGGCGCCACTGTCTGTCAACCAGACATCTTCTGTCTTCTGGTTCAGTAGGTAGCTTATTTGTTCGTCTGTCACAGTGCCACCTGTCTTGAGCTTGTCGCTACTTCCCATACGATTATCTTCCGAGTGCGTGATCACAAAAGCACAGGTATCCGAGTCGTCACTCCTCTTCTCTCCGCCTTTTCCAGGTTTCCCATCTCGTTTCCACTTTCTACAAAATCTCTTTATGTGGTCCTTTTTCTTATAGTAAAAACACTCTATACCAGCCGAGTCATTTTGCTGGGTTTTTTTCTCCTTCTGTAAGACACTATCTTGCTTTTTCTTGCTCTTAACTGTTACAGCGGCCAACGCACTTGCCAATTCATCATCTCGAGATAATCTGCTTTCCTCCTTTATTAGTCGTTCTTGCAGTCCATGTATGGTTTGTGAAGCGGGTTTCACGCTGTCCCAGGCTGTAATCAGAGCTCCATATTTCATAGGCAGGCTCTCCAAAACTTTCGCCATTATAGCCATGTCTGATACAACCTCACAAACATCCGTAAGCTGCCTGGCCATATTTTGTACTTTAGACACGTGCTGTACCACTGAGTCATTCGCGGCCATCTTATATTCATGAAACCGTTCCAACAAAAGCAGTTTGTTCGATTCTGAGGTTCTTTCATTATTGCTATTCAGCTTTGTTCACATCTCATGACAGACATCTGGTAAGTAATTAAATACTCAAGTTGAGAGTACTCTATGGCCGACGATATAAGGAAAGTCGCCCTTGCATCATCCTTTATCTCAAATTCAACTCCTGGATAGCTGCTTCGAATATAAAGCTGCTTTCAAACCATGATGGGGGAAAACCAGTTTCTCATGATATTACCGAGCAATAGTAGCATGCGACACTATCCCGAAAATACAACTACTTCATTTATTACGGAATTGTCTCAAGAAGTGAAGCTGACTGGCTTATGGTAAGTTGCGCTTACCGAAATTCAATTCCCCTTTAGTTTTTTACACGTGTGCCCCGAAGAAGATACAGAACTCGTATTCATTTCATTGCCGCGTGAAAATATTAATACCAAAAATGCCAAATCAGTCATCATAAAAGGCGACGACCATCTACCCAAATTCGAGCTTACCCACATAACCTCCGGTGTTTACACCACGGAAAGCGAACTGCTACAGTCTTTAAACAACGCTAGCTCATTACTCAAAACGCACATTGCCTGGCGCCAGGATCCTCATCGGGGTGGTAAAGTAACGGTGTACTGCACATGTGATATTAAAGAATGCAGTAGTTTTCATTTCGTAAAGTTTTCCGACAAAGTGGCTCGTATGCTCGGCTTCGATATGTATAGGCCGAACGAGGAATTCATTCATCTTGACTTGCCGAAAATTATACAGGGGCATATAGCGTACCATCCCAATACTGATCGTAATGCGAATCCCCAGAAAGTTGGAAAAGGAAGGTTTTACTCTTTTATCACGTTAAAACGTGAACTTATGTCCGACGAACCAGCTAGTACGGTGCGGGGTATACCCGATAAACTCTTTGTTTATTGCGACATTTGTGAGTCCTATATAACGGGAGACGTGTATTCTCCTCTTCTCCGTGTAATCCCCGTCGAATACAACGGTGGCAAATCTGCCTACGGTCGTAACATGGTGAAGCATTTTTCTCCGCCGAATTATATTCCATTGCGATTAACATGTTTCCGCACGATCGAAATAGATATAAGAGATCAGGTTGGCGAAAGAATACCATTTGAATTTGGGACGTTGACAGTTATATTACAATTTAGGCGTCGTGTTTAGCACGATATGACACATTATTTAGAGTATTATGAAGCGCAATCCGGGGGAAGTCGCAGCGGTGGAATTCTGCGAGTTTTTGTAGGATCGCAGTATCAGCGCGGCCATGGTATCGGTAGTTTTCTCGGTGGTTTGTTCAGGCGTGTGTTACCTTATCTGGTCAGTGGTGCGCGTGTAGTTGGAAAAGAAGCTCTACGCGCAGGGGTTAGTATACTCGATTATGTGGAGAATAACACGCCGTTGAAAGCAGCTGTTAAAACACGCCTCAAGGAATCAAGCTCAAATCTCAAAAGAAGAGCGGAAGAACACATTAACAAACTGATGGAGGGGTCTGGATATAAAACTCCTGCGAACATCGGAAAAGCTCAGTTTCCTTTCGTTACGCTAAGCGGATACAACGGCAAATCATCTGCACCCAAACGTCTAGTCAGCGCTTATAAATCAAGTAAGAGGAAAACGACTCGAAGAAACATACAGAGAAAAAAACGGGGTAAGAAGCTAACGAAGAAGCCGGCGAAGAAGCGTTCAGTGAAGAAAAGCGGGAGAGGCCTTGTTAAACGTCGGGAAGTTATCAAGAAGCGTACCGTGTCAAACATTTTTTCCTAAACATCAACAACAGACGCGTGCTTTCGAAGTCTGTCCTTTCTTCATACGCATTCCAGTGAATGTTTAAAGAGTGAACTCGATCTCCTCACCCTGCCGCCTACACAAACCAGCATTGAGAGTTCACAATGGATTCACTACAAACCCGTGTCTTCTCTCACAGACGACGCGCCCATCGAATTCGTCGTACCCGGGCATGGAGAAGAATACATAGATCTTGCTCACACCATGCTGTCGCTATGCATACGAGTAGAAACGGAAATTGTAGCAGGAGTCGCCGGCGCAAAAGTAGGCCCAGCAAACCATATACTGCATTCGATATTCAATCAAATCAACGTATATTTCAACCAAAAGCTCGTATCTCCTCCAAACAATGCTTACGCTTACCGCGCTTACATAGAGGCGTTATTAAATTATGCTTCACCAGTAAAAACCTTCCACCTGGCTTAGTGCCTGTAGTACAACGATACGGCGGGGAACATGAACGCTCTGCCGGGAGCGACACCATGCAATCACGGACTCGACAAGCGAGCCGCTTTTATACGAGGAGGACGAACACTGGATCTCATAGGTCATCTTCACTGCGACGTCTTCAATCAAGATAAATTCTTGATCAACGGTGTCGAAGTGCGCATGAGGCTTGTTCGTTCGAAAGATTCCTTTTGTCTTATGGAAGGAAATACTATGTCGTGGATAAGCGTTTTAGATGCTACACTACTCATCAGAAGAGCTAGAATAAATCTAGGCATATTACGCGCTCATACAAAAATGTTGACCAGGACTACTGCTAAATACCCTCTCACGAGAATCGAAGTTAAAACGAGTCCCCCACTTTTCTTTTCGACGTCATTCCCCTTCCAATGTAAAGATTTTCAACATCATAGTCCTCCCGAGTAAAAGTTTTGAGAAAAGAGTACCTGGGCCCCGCGGGTTGCTATCGGATGCTCGAACCTCTTAGACCAATGCTGCCTGTTGCTAGTAGACGTCTAGTGAAGGTTCTTACAGTATGTGTGTGATGATGTCACGCATACGTCAAAAGAAAACACATGGCGGCGGTGTAGGCCAGACTCGAACCTGGGCCCCGCGGTTGCTATCGAGCGCTCGAACCTTCTAGACCACCGTCGCCTATTGCTAGTAGACGTCACGTTACGGGTAAGATGGCGAGCGTGACGTCACGCATACGTCAAAAGAACAAACATGGCGGGGGTGTAGGTAGGGTCAAACCTGGGCCCCGCGATTATTATCGAACCTGGGCCCCGCGATTACTATCGAACGTCTATCGGACGTCTCTTGGACGTCTCTCTCGAACGTCTATCGGATGTCTCTCTCTCGGACCTCCTAGACCATTGTTACTTATTGCTAGTAGGCGCATAGTGAAGGTTCTTACAGTGTGTATGATGGCGTCACGCATGCGTCAAAAGAAAAACAAAGTCGGAACTAGGCCAGACTCGGACCCCGGACCCTTCGTTTACTGTGCGATGGTCCTACCACTTAGACCATCATAGGGTAGGTTGGAAGGGAATACGAAACGTTCGTCGAAAGAGTATTTACTATACCGACTTGCGCTGGGCACTATCCTCATCGTTCTGAGGAGGGGGAAGGGAAGTAAAATGGGAGACATATAGAATTAATTTATACATAATCTTATGTTTTAGAATATCATTTATTTGTTCGCGGCTTCATACATTATATTTTTCACAGCGCATGCTAACAATTCACAATCAATGTTAGTTAAGTTTGCGCACCATGTTGGTTAGCGGGCTGTATTCAACTACACGATCATGCAGGATGAGACAATATGCGGTAGTATTCGCCGGTATATTCTCCTTACACTCAAATTCGATGCGCACATCCACAGTGGCACTCTTGACGGACTCATTTTGACGCGAGCAATCGATAACCACAAAAGGACCTAGCCGCAGAAAGTCGGTAGTTGTTAACCATGCCTCAGCATTGTCGCATCCATAATACGATTTACGAAAACGTCTATACATATCGTAAAGTACGGCGTATTTATTTTTTGTAAAGTCCAAATTCATGTCGTCGTACGGATAACACTCTGAATTCAGATAGAGCTTCACGTTGATCAATTTGCAGTCATCGAAACGAGTTATATTTTCCGACATGACATTCTTCCGGCCAGTCTGCAGCGCAAAGATAACGTATCGAGGTTTCTCCAAATTAGTAGCAGTTTTGACGGTCCACAAGTGTTTGGTCGTGCTTTGCAGTAGAGGAAATTCATACAGATCCCACGAGCGGAAACTCATACTCAGGTATCGTCCATCCTCCAAAGTTTTCAGCATGGAAAGTTTATTGATATCGTTCAAGATTACATGAAGCATTCGCCATTGTATCTTGAATAGCTCAATCTTAGGATCCAGCGCTGAAGATCCTAGTAGACTGTTGCTGTCGCTGCGCGATCGTAATAGAATCAATTCGTGACGCGCGTTAATCACTATACGTTTGTAGTCTTCACAGAATCCTAGCAAAACGTTGAGCGGTACACAAAAATTGAAGTACCCGTCCGGCGAAATAGTGTCAGTCGTATCCCACGCGGCATTTTTCATGATGGCATTTTTGTCTGAAGATATCGATACATAGTTTTTGAGCGTTGAAGTTATTCCCACGTTTCTGTTACGATCAATCTCCACACCATCCAGTTCATAACGGATCTCATCAAACATAAATGCAACGCCATTATATCCCAACGTTACAGTCGCACCATCGACTGCAACTTGTTTCGTCACCTTCCCCTCGACATAGAGATAACTCTCACATGGCAATATGTATAAATTCTGCTGCTGTATGGGTATTCGTATCTCGTCGCTATGTCCAAACGTTGTGTTAGCGTATGGATTGTACGTATGTGTCTCAATCTTGACGATGTGCTCGTCAAAGACCGGTTCATTTCCAATGTTCAAAACGTCAATCACCTTTCTCAATCGTTTCGTACGATGAATCCCAGAGATTTCAAAAATTCAACGTTCTACGCGCTGAGTTTCTTTCGAACGAGGGATTTTGTACTGTTAATCGCGCGTCTCGTAAAAAGTATATTTCCAGCTTGTTTCACCTGTTCCACTTGATTCACCACAATTATTTCATAGATTACGTTTATTATCGTCGCCGTCGTACATGCAATCTGAAGGTAATCTCTTCTCCTCGAAAATCGAGCGATTGTCCTTCTTGATTAACTACATGCA